ATTGTTTGTATATCTGGAAGTTTTCATTGCCGAAAATAGAGAATAAAAAATAAGTTTATTCTGTGACTAAAGTCGCCTAAGAATAATGATAGAGTTCAAGAAATATGTACATAAGTCTGGAATGTAGAAATAAAACCAAATGTACATAAATACAAAGAAAAATAGAAATAAAATACAGATGTCAATTAACTCTTTATAAAAAATTGTAATTAATCTAAACATTCTAATATGGTTGTGGATGATAGGAGTTGTTTGAAGGAATTTGTGGACGAGGATTGGGGAGAGAGTTCCAAAAGAAGATTGTACGAATGACGAAGGATTTGCTGAGGGAAGTGGTTTTATAGGAGGGAATATATAGATCTATAGGTTGAGCCGTGGTACTAAGAGAGTGGATAGAGGAACATATAGGCAACGAGTTATAGGATGTAGGGAGGATTTTTGGTTCTGAGGACTTGGAAAAGGAAAACAACGAGGAGGAATTGCCGTCGGGCCACTTCAAGAGTCACTTCAACTTGGTGTACCACATGAAAACACTTCGAATCCCAAAGATAAATCTCATCAAGCAATTCATGAGTCACTTTAGTTTCATATTCAGCCAACAGATAATCCCTCCATTCACCAAGCAATCGTAGTCGAAGTGGTGAGAAACAGTGTAGGTTACAAGGAGCCATCTGTTTTTTTCTAGGAATAAAATCACGGAATCTTAGGGGTTTTTTAAGGACAGATGTGGATTTTCGAGTACTCTGGAATACATGGTTATCCTAGAAACGGTTCTGATCAAAGGTTATTCCTAAGTTTTTGGCTGTAGGAAAAATGAATGGTAAGTTTTTTCGAGGAGAGAAAGATATTTTTAGAAAATATAGTTTTTGTAGAAAATCGAATATTTTTTTAACGTTTTGAGTTTCTTTGTTATCAAGTTTTATTATCATGTTTTCAGTAGCGTGGTTTTAAAAATACTATCGATTTGAAGATGGTTGGCTATCGATCCATTTAAACTTTTTCGGATTTCTTCGATATCAAGTTCAATTATTATTATTATGTTATCCCAAGGAGTAATTTTAAAGTAAATTGATTGCTTGTCGATTTATTCACCGTTATAATCTTTTTCCTCCTTGAGTGCCTTTCAACGAGGAGGAGCCTCCAGCCACTTCGACCATACATCCCGGTCTCTCACCGATTCCTTCTTCTGACCTTGAGTTTTCACTGTTTTCTGGTCTAATAGCTATGTTCTTCTAAGCCTGCCTCGTGGTCTTCTGTCAGTGGGCCATATTAACACTTACCAAAGTTAATTCAATATATTTATGTGTATTTGATAGATTTTTTCCAAGGACAGGCTTGAATAACAGGCACTTCCCAAAAAAATGTTTAGTGACTTTTAAGTGTTACAATCTACAAAAAAAAAAAAAAAAAAAATACTATTTTCGGCAATTGGGGATTCGTTTGAGGCAAAGGTTGTTTCCGACAATTTTTTTTACCTTATTTTTTGATTCGGTTGGTTAGAATTCATAATAGGATGCGATTTGACCGAGATCAATCTCATCCGTCAGGTTTTCCCTTTTTATTTAATTATTTAATTAAGAGAACCCACTTTATTGAGGCTGGGTATGTCCCAGCAGGGGCTCCCGACCCCCGATGAAACAGAATAAATAATTATCTCCCATGAGCCAAGATTTGAACTTACACCTGGAATTTTGAGCATTGGAAGCTCAGCGCCCTACCACTGAACTATCCCATTTCATAAAATATGTGAGAAAATGACATATTCCTCGACATTTTTTACAATCCATTCTAGGTCTGCTTTATAGATCGGATTCAGGTTTCAACAACAACAATGTGAAAACTCAAAATTGGCAGTTTTGTAGTAGTTATGGATAAAAACTCAATTAAGCAACTACCCTTGGAAATGAAAATGTGACAATGGAATTAATATACAAATTTTTTATGATGTTATCTTATAATCAAAAGATAAATATTATGTATATGTTATCAATAAAAGATAAATAGTATGTGTATGTTATCAATAAAAGATAAATATCATAAATATGTTGCACATTATTAGGATGAATGAATGCTAAGTAAAATAAGACAGGAAAAAATGGCGTTGATGACCCATGAAGTTTTACGCCATTAAACAAGAACAAACGAACGAATCGCAGTTGAAATGGTTGTAATAGATAGTAAAACATTTCAATTAATCTGTTGTTGGTCTGCTGCTATTGGTTAAAATAATTATCATAAGACGATTTATTATTGCGCAACTAGAATGAAGCCACTACGTCATGTGATACACTTAACTATTTTTTGGTATGTTTTTTGAGCGAACGACTCAACCAGGAAAAAGGGTTTTTTAAGTTTTATTTCGACAACGTTAATTTTTTTTTTTTAATTTCATTTTGTTTACGCATTTGTTGTTGCAGGTTTTTTTTTACGTCCTGAGGCATGTATTCAACAGATGCTTCTGCCTAGTGTTGCCCAAAAGCGAGACCAAGACAAGTCTTGGTCTTGCGCACTCAGTCTTGGTCTCGTGCAAGAATCTCGCAACAGTATTGCATTGACCTATATATATATACAATAGATACATGACTGTTATTTTTCAGGTAGGGGAAACCTAACTAAGCCCGAATGAAAAATTGGAAGAGTTAAATATAAAAGTATATTGGTTATATTATTTTTTTACATATATTAACTAAAATTGTCAAGTATTAGTATTTCCAAATGGATTGCTCCGAGATACATGCTCCACCCATCTTGACCACCTTGCCTTCATGTCATGAGATATGGATTGACTAGTTTCTGTAAGTAGCTCTTTTTTTGGTCTTTCTCCTTCATGTTAGTACTCTGGTCCCAAGATCGCTTCGGTTCTTTTGCGGAGGATTGACAATATTTTCAATTCAGTGATGGAAAATATTTCTAATAAAATCTTTCTTATCATATTTATATGATAAAGGTGTATTGTCTGCACGTAATTGCTGTTATATACGTACATACTGTTCAGGAATCAACCCCTGAAATACTAATAAATCTAAAAAACATTTCTTTGTAATTTTGAACCTCACAAATATTTTATTGACTTCCATCTTCAGTTAAGCCTAGGCAGCAGTAAAGTATGCACACTCATTTAATTTTGTTTTAACAGACATTATCAAAGAACCATGATTTTCTAAATCCAAATGAAACAGACTTGTGGAGGAAGTATGAGGAGAAAGAAGGAGGCCTAGAAATCAACATCACTTTTTAACACCAAGTGAGTCTACATTTAGCATAATATTGGGTTGGCAATATATAGAAGTCCTTTCGGTTTTTCTGTTGATTTTTATGTCACTATGATACATTTCTTATCTGATGAATTAATCTCTAAGGTGGATTGTTTATTCAGTTTATAATATGTCAACAACTATATCTGTTAACGCCTGTTGAAACTAGCTTAGTATTGTGTTTGCTATTGCACTGTGAATATGGAAGAAAATATTATAGTATTTATCGGTATATCTGGTTGCATTATTTTAAAAAAGATACGCGTGCTGCAGAAGTTCATAAAAAAATTGTTTGTGGGGATGATGCCTCAACTGAACGCACCTGTCAAAATTGGTTTGCCAAATTTTATTCAGGAAATTTTGACATCAACGATGCTCAAAGGTCTGGTCGCCCACATGAAATTGAAACTAGTTAGACTTTAGCAGGAAATTTAGCAGGGATTTAGGGCCAATTAAACTACACAGAATGACTTGAACAGGACCTTCGTAAACAAACTACAAATGGAGATAAACAATAGAAACCTATAAGGAGTTTTTGTTTATTTATTCCATATGTAGGCATTAAATAAAAAAAAAACATTCATACGGCTTTGAAGAGCAATAATTCAGCTTTCCAACGGATATAGTAACATCGAATTTGGAGAACAGCCTGAAGAGTTATGAATGATCGGAAGGGAGCCTTGGACGGTACCTTTTGCTCCACCCTCCCTATTCACTAGACCTAGCTTCAAGTGACTACCACTTATTCCGGTTTCTGCAGAACTCCACGAATGGAAAGAAATTCCAAAAGAAAGATGAAATCCAAAACCACTTGGATCATTTTTTTAACAATAAAATCCAGACATTCTATGAATATGGCATTATGCAGTTAGTGAAAAGATAGGAAACAGTCATATTAAATAATGGTCAGTAAATTTAAATTAAAATAAATTTTATGTCTATAATACATTATATTTCATCCTGTTTAATTTCATCCTGAAAAACCGAAGGGACTAATTTGCCAACCCAATATGATTTTTCGTCTGAAGAAAAATTACTTCCATTTCAACCCTACAATGCCAAAATACAAAATTGTAATTTTTATTTCTCTCTTTTATCAGCAATGTTAATTTCTAAAATTAAATCTAGTCCACAATTTTTTTGTTTCTATTTATTGTCATTAATATAATCATTTGTTTTTTCACAAATATTTAATTTCAATGATCCCCAATCAATGACCCCCATACAATCCACACCAATTGAAACATGAACTGCCCAAAATCAAACACTTAGAGATCCAGTAGTAATATTTGGCTCACACCACATTATCGTTATCAAACACACTTCTTATTCGTAGTCTTTTTTCACTAAATATTTACCTAGGTTTTTGGTAAATATGGAAGTCCATTGTATTAAGGTGGATAGGTATATTTCAATTTTTAAAAAACTGTTTTTTTTTTAAATAATTTAAAAAATATATTTATTGACAATAGAATGTTGGTAATACAACAGTTCTGAATCGACGAGTTGTGATCCGAATCCTGAAGGAGTCGAAGACTCCTAACGTCGACAGAACAACACGTTAATTGGATAATACGGGAAGGTTGCACGTCAGCCAAGAGGTGGACATTCTGATGAGGATTATTAGAGAAATTGTGAATGACGTTGACGAGAAACAAATAGAATCAGTTGTGAGGGCTATTAATAGATAGGGATAGATAGTAACGGAACGGGTGGAAGACCACGTGTTCTTCCACTATATAGTCCTTCGAAGGACTCCCGCTCTTCAGTTCTGCCATGGCGCTCATCCTGGTCTTGTGCCTCTTCGCTGTCCTTCCTGCGGCCCTTCTTCAGGAGACGTACCTCCGTGAGTCTTCATCGTAGCATAGCATGCTTTATATCTACTGTTATTATTCTTATAGCTTCTTAAATAAATAAAAAAGGATATATATATATATATATATATATATATATATATATATATATATATATATATATATATATATATATAATTGAAGAGTTTTTTTCTTTTAACTTGAGGCACTATAAAGGTCTCTATATTAAAAAAAAAAATCGAAAATTGTAACTAGTAACTTATTGACATTTAGAACTTAACTGAACTGATTTTAAAAATAAATTTTTTTTTATTTACTAATTTTCTTAAAAACAAAATAATTTTAAATGAAATAAGCGATATATTCCCCTTACATAAATGTTACAGACCCCTTTTCATCAAATCATTAACATCCACCTGAAACTTCGTGAATAGCTTCATCTCATCGTAACCTACAAATATTTTATTTACGAAAATTCTGGGAATTGGGGGGTTTTCAATCTGGAGGTCGGTGAACTTTGTCTATTTAATTAGGTACCAAAAACTAGTAAATATCCATTTGCTTTGAACTTGAATTAATATATAATTTCAGCACAAAATTTAGAAAAAATATTGGACTGTTAAGCAAATATAACCTCGTTATTTTGGCATTTTGGGGTGTAGGTCACGCCAAACGGCTCAATATTTTTGAAGGCAATATTTTTTTTTTCAACTTTGTGCTCAAATTATCTTACGATCCAAGTGGAAAATATAATAGCTATTTACGAGTTTTTTTAGTACCTAATTAAATAGACAAAGTTGATCGGTGAACTTGAAATAATTGAAGAGTGTTTTCTTTTATCTTGAGGCTCTATTAAGGTCTCTATATTAAAAAAAAAAAAATGAAAATTATAACTAGTAACTTATTGACATTCAGATTTAAGCTGAACTGATTTTAAAAATAAAATGTTTTTTTATTTACCAATTTCTTAAAAACAAAATAATTTTAAATGTGATAAGCCACACTAGCGGATCCAGGATTGAATTTGGGGGGGGGCTTCAGCCCGAAAAATTATTTTTTCATATACATATAACGATAATTAATTAGAAAAAAAAAGAAATTAACTGCCTATATGAAATGGTGTTTAAGTGGTTCTTGAAATCCTATTAAATGTATTTACACGAAAAAGAATACTTTAAGAGAACAAAAAGTTAAAAAAAAAATGTTGCCTTTAAAAGTATTAATCTATTTGGCGTGACCTACATCCCTCAAAATAACGAGGTTATATTTGCCTAACAGTCCAATATTTTTTCTAAATTTTGTGCTAAAATTATATTATAATTCAAGCTCAAAGCAAATGGGTATTTACTAGTTTTTGATACCTAATTAAATACACTAAGTTTGTTGATATACAGATTGAAAACGACCCAATTCCGAGAATTTTCATAAATAAAATATTTGTAGGTTACGACGAGAAGAAGCTATTTACGTAGTTTCAGAGGAATGTTAATAATTTGATGAAAAAGGGTCTGTACCACGGATCATATGTCTTGTTACATTTAAAATTGTTTTGTTTTTCAGAATATGAGTAAACAAAAAAATATTTTATTTTTAAAATCAGTTCAGTTTAATTATAAATGTCAATAACTATTGACAATATACAATTACTAGTGATAATTTTAATTTTTTTTTTTAATGTAGAGACCTTAATAGGTCCTCAAGATAAAAGAAAAAATTCTTCAATTATTTCAAGTTTACCGATCAACTTTGTCTATTTAATTAGGTACTAAAAAAACTCGTAAATACATATTATACTTTCCACTTAATTCGTAAGATAATTGAGCACAAAGTTGAAAAAAAAAAAAAAAAAACGTGGCCTTCAAAAGTATTGAACCATTTGGCCTGACCTACACCCACAAAATAACGATTATATTTGCCTAACGGTCCAATATTTTTGTTGATCATCTTTTTTTCTCATTTTTGTGCTGAAATTATCATATAATTCAAGTGGAAAGCAAATGGATATTTACTAGTTTTTGATACCTATTAGATATCACGGATTATACCTATTAGATACCTATCATACCTATCAGATATGATTATATGACTAGTTACATTTAAAATTGTTTTGTTTTTCAGAAAATGAGTAAATAAAAAAATATTTTATTTTTAAAATCAGTTCAGTTTAATTCTAAATGTCAATAAGTTACTAGTGATAATTTTATTTTATTTTTGTTTTAATATAGAGACCTTAATAGGTCCTCAAGATAAAAGAAATTATTCACTCTTCAATTATTTCATGTTTACCGATCAACTTTGTCTATTTAATTAGGTACTAAAAAAACTCGTAAAAACACATTATACTTTCCACTTGATTCGTAAGATAATTTGAGCACAAAGTTGAAAAAAAAAAAAAAAAAATGTGGCATTCAAAAGTATTGAACCATTTGGCGTGACCTTACATCCCCCTAAAATAACGAGATTATGTTTGCCTAACAGCCCAATATTTTTGTAAATCATCTTTTTTCTCAATGTTGTGCTGAAATTATATTATAATTCAAGCTCAAAGCAAATGGGTATTTACGAGTTTTTGGTGCCTAATTAAATACACTAAGTTTGTTGATATTCAGATTGAAAACGACCCAATTCCGAGAATTTTCGTAAATAAAATATTTGTAGGTTACGATGAGAAGAAGCTATTTACGAAGTTTCAGGCGGATGCTAATAATTCGGTTAAAAGGGGTCTGTACCATGGACTAAAATATAGGCAAAAAAAAAAAAACTGTGAACGTTTGACCATTTCAAACATCATCAGGACAGAAAAGAACAGCTGATTAGAACATTAGTAGATCAGCTGTTCTTTTCTGTCTTAATTATGCTTGAATTAGAAAAACATTCACAGTTTTTTTTTTTTTTTGCCTGCACTTTGGAGAAATAGGGGAGTGTAGTTTGAAATTTTTACAATTATAAACTAACATTTATGTTCTGTCTCTTGATTAGTTTGTTACTAATTTATATTTTCATGATATATTTACAGATTTTAAATGTGTTTTTTTTTTAATAGATCTTATATGGTTTATTACATTTTAAATTGTTTTATATTTAGAAAATACGTAAATAAAAAAAAATTTAAGATCAGTTCAATTTAGTTCTAAAGGTCAATAACTTACTAGTGACAATTTTCAATTATTTTTATTTTGAATATAGAGACCTTAATAAGTCCTCAAAATAGAAGAAAAAAAAATCTTTGGAAAAGATTGGAATTTTTCCAATTATAACCTTATATATTATAAAAGTCAAAATAAAACCTATATAAATTCAATGATGAAGAATTTTGTCTGAAATTTAATGGTTGGGATGGTTGTTTATTTTTGTCTAAAGCCATTGAGTTAATCATTTTAAAAACTTTGAAGCCGTATTTTTTAAGGACTCCATATTAAAATTTAAAATGTCTGAAAATTGTCACAAGCATTTTAAATTGGGGTTTAGAATTAATATTACAGTTATTGGAGAAATTAAATATTTTTTTTTGGATATTCGGAAAAATAGAATTTAAGACGACCACGAATTTAGGACTCGTTTGACTTATCTTTTCTTTGTTCTATTATTGATAATGAATAAAAGCTAATAATGATTTTAGAAAATGAATCAAATAAACAAAGTTGTAGAAGGTAACGGAGAGTGAAGAAAAAAATATAAATAATAATTTTAGAAAACTAACATTATTTAACGTAAATCACATGTTTCCAAGGAAATTAAATGAAATTTTCTTACTAAATGTAAACTTTTAAATTTTTTCTACGTTTGAAAAAAAAGTTTTTAAAATCCACCGAATCCAGCCAATGCCGTTGTTTAAAATACTATTTCATTGTACTTGTGTGAAAGAAGAATTGAAATATAGAACTATTTCATGGATAAGTTTATAACCTTAAATACATTTAATAATAATTATAATAGTCTTTATTTACATTTACTCTAGTTTAATTACTCTAGATATTATTATTATATTTCAATAATTAGGTACCTATTGGCCGTTAATTCCAAAAAATCATCAAGTAACCTTTTAAAAAATTAAATTAGTGAATAGTTTGATGAATTTTCCTTTTGTGATATTCTAACAGTATCCACTTACAAAAAGTATGACAACTTTTGACCTATCTATTGTAGACAATCAAAATCTCATAATATCATTATAGTATATTTTACAATGCAAAATAGTTTAATAACTAATAGTCCTACAATCCATAATCATTTATAGGTTAAATATTCGGATGTACTTTCAAATCTCTATAGTCATATATGTGCTTTTCGGTTGACCGAATGACTAACTCCAATTTCAACATTCTTTATTATTAATTTTAGTGATGTTTCTAGTGGCAAAATTTATACCTTTATTCGCAGTTCTATATTTTAACACTCCAATCACCTACTCTGGAATCCACTTACCCACTGCCTCTATAGATATAACTTTTCCAACTAGAAATATCACTAAAATGACATTATTCAAAAATTTTGAAATTATAGTTAGTCATTCTGTCAACTGAAAGGCTCAGAGACTGAAGTTATGTGGTTTATAAAATCAGATGGAGAAAATAGATTTTTATTGCCTACCGTCGATATAATAAATATACTTTTTGTAATTTTAATGGTCTTAACGAGTTGATATGTGTTCCAATATTGCCAGAAAATAATTTCTATTCAAAGTAGAGCGGTAAGTGGAAGTTGTGTGTTGCGCGCACCAGATTTTTGTTTTACACATTCAAACAAAACAAAATTAAAACTTATCAGATCTATTAAAACATTATTTTTATTGTGAAATATACAATAAAATATCAATTAAAAATAATATAAATTCATTCTAATTTTATGTATTATCTAATAATTGAAGTTTATTTATTTTCATTCAAAAGCTTGAAACTTTGATTTAAAAACATATATAATTTATCTGAATGATTAAGAAAAAAACGTAATGTTAGAATTTAAAAATACTGTACTCAAATATGTTTTTTGCTATTTAATTAATTAATTTATTTATTGTACATAGAGTGTGAATGTTCCCTATGAACACTATTGTAAATGTCCTTAATTGGGACGAATTGTAATATTTCTTTAAAAAAAAAAATCTTAGGGTCCGTATTTATTAAGAACTCCATATTAAAATTTTAAAAACTTGAAAATATTAAAATAAAAAGCATAATTTTGTCGTTTAAAACAAACTTTAATTGATTTTAAGAACTAATTTTATCATTTTGTTTTTTTGCCCATTCTTACACAAGAAAAAAAATTAATTGAGGTGTTACACCGAATAAAAGACGACCTCAAATTAGAACTCTTATTGTTTTCTTTGGGGTAAATATAGGAAATGGTCTTTGATGAATAAACTATTTGAGTCATCATATTTTCCTAGAGTATTATTTTTTTATGCATTGAAGGCTTTCAAGAAATTCAAAACAGAATAAATACAGAAAATTGTAGTATAGGTACACATTTTTAATTTATATCTCAAACTTTATAAAATTGATCTAGTATTAATTTGAAAACCAATATCGATATATTGAAGTCGATTTTAGATTTAACTTTTATGACATCGAATTCAAGACGCATACCTATTTAAAAAATAAAATTTTAATGAAAAAAGTCTTAAATTCGTAAAAAAAACAACAAAAATGTATTTATAACCAATGTATTTTTTTTCACATTCTTAAAAAACAAATCAGTTTGTAAAATTTTATTTAAAAAATATGTATATATATATATATATATATATATATATATATATATATATATATATATATATATATATATCAAGTCAAAATATATATATATATATATTATAAAATATATATTATTTTCGTTTAAAGGCGTGAAACTAATAAGGTAAATCAAAAGCTATAATTTTTCTGAATTATTAAAAAAAAAAAGAAGTAATTTAAATTTTTTGAGGGCTTATTTATTAAGATCTGCATATTATAATTTAATCAATAAAGTTTTAATGAATATGTAATTAATAATTCTTTATTGTCCATTGTCTATTTCTTATCAAGTTGTCAATAAAACTTGCAATTTATTTCTTGTTCGAAACCCAAATTTCAATGAAACTTCGCTAAAGTTATTTTCATTGACGCCCTTTAAATTTATCTATATGACATACCTTTTTTTTTTTGTATACATTTTGTATTACATACACTTATTTTACATCAATATCTTTTATTTTTTATTGTAATCAGTATCATTATTTTTTTTATAATTTTTTTTGGACTTTATTATTATTAAAATTAAACTAATTTTGTTTTGCAGCCGAAACATGGATGATCTGCAGAAAATCAGACCCTGACTTGAGTGGTTGTATGAAAACTGCTATATCTTATGCTGTAAAAGAACTCATGAATGGTATTTACTTCAAGTTTAATTTCTTAATATGAAATAGATCAAAAGTTTATATTTCTAAACTTTTTCATTGAAATGTACAACTTATTATATAAAAAATACAATTAGTAAATTTGGAATTGGTAACATGACATGTACAAAATGTCAACTACCCATTGGTAGCACTCCATAGTTTTCAGAAGATCTCTTCGAGATCTTCTCAGACGCCTCGGAGGATTATCAGTAATAGAAGAGGAAGCAAGGTTGGAAACAAGAGGGTTCAGAAGTTTCTTACAGAAGGATACGTATCTGGATTGAGCTAAATCGGAAACATATGTTGAATTAAAGTCGTTATGGATGATTTTATTTGTGACAAAGTAAGGAGCATTGAGGATTTTACGAAGGATTGTAAGGATTGGATAGGAGAGCAATTTGATGGTTGAGTAGAGCACTAAAGCTCGATTCCGTAAGTCCAATTAGGTCTTATTATAGTCCGGGAGCTGAGGCCGAAGAGGTGGTCTGATTTTGCAACAATTTGCAATATGATTAACTATATATTTTATTTCGTTGTCTCACTTGGTTTCCAAGATATCCATCCTAAGCTATCGCTAATGAGGAAAAAAATTGTTAACTTATGTTTGTTACTGTATTTAACTAGCTAACACTTGATTTATCCCTGTTGAACAAATTCGTTACCTAAGACTCCACCTGGACAAACGGCTCCTTGGAACCGTCATACCACTAGAAACTGTTCGACGTTTCCGACTACTACAACGCTTACTAGACAAACGCTCTAAACTTCTAGTTATTTATAAAAGACTCATATATATTACTATAGAAAGACCTATCTGGACTTAAGGTATCGAGCTTTGTGGCTCCACTAAAGCATCAAATTCCTCTCGTTTCCAATCCTTACAATCCAAAATCCTTCGTAAAATCCTCTATGAACCTTACTTCGTCACAAATAAAATTATCCATAACGATCTTAATGTAATATATGTTTCCAATTTAGCCCAATCCAGATACCTATCCTTCCATAATAAACTTCTGAAGCATCCGAACCCTCTTGGTTCTAACCTTGCTTCCTTCTCGATCTCTGATAACCCTCCGAGGCGTCAGAAAAGAAGATGCTCTCGGGACCTTCTAATATAGAACTATGATTGGAGTGCTACCAATGGGTAGTTTCTCTTCATGTAGTACGTGTTTGTTTATTTAGGCTTTAAGGCGTAAAACCCTAGTGTCATAAACGCCTGTATAGTACATGTCATGTCACTGTTTTCTTATTTACTTGTTGTATTTGTCATGTAATACAGTTTTAAATTTCAATATATGCATTTAAAAAAATATATTATAAATTATTTTGTAAATATTTAATTTAATTTATCGGCACACTAATCTGTTTATTTATATTATGCATTTATAATTTGTTCTAAAGGGACATTAATCCCAGAATAATAAAGGTATTTTCATTTCATTTCAAAATGGCGTTTCTGGTAGCCCCACACGCTTTGGAAAAGAGGAAAACCAGAAACGTAACTTTAGGAATATTTCCGAGACTTCATCTTCTTTAATTAATTGTCTGTTGCAGGTGACCGGAGGTTGGGTGTGCCCGCTATAGACCCGATGCACTTCCGGTCTATCACCGTGGACCAGGGGACAGGTCCAGTTGGGATAACCCTCAAGTTCACCAACCTCAACATCCACGGCCTTTCCAGAGTGGTCATCGATAAAGTCGTGTAAGCAACAGATAAGATATTCTAGTTCAAGCAAAACACAAACTTGAGGATCTGATACCATTAAAATAAATAACATGAATATCAAATAACACAAACATATGGAAAGCACCAGGGATGCCCAGAAGGGGGGTTCATGGTCCAAATTGCGACATTGAAATCTTTGAGGGGGACATAATATGACGGGTTTTTGAATTTTTGAGGGGGGCAAATTGCAATGGGATTATGGACTAAGGGACAAGGGGAAAGCATGGAACAGACAGCAGCAATTGTGATTGTATATGATTATTGTTTTCTGTAATTATACCTTAGCTTTACATTAAGTCCACAACGAATAATGTTGCAATGCATGAATATGTTAAAATTAATCAGCACCTTTTTCCAATGGGAACAGAATTCAAATACCTCGGAGTAATAGTTACTGACCAGAACAAAATATAGGCCATAATTACAGCTGGCAATAAGTGTTTTTTGCCCGGCCAAAAATACGAAAATCCAAGTAACTGAGCTGGAATACAAAAGTAACAATTTGTAAAACCATTATAAGGCCAGTCGTTACCTACGGGTGTGAAACGTGGGTTCTGACACAGGAAAGTGAGAGGTTGCTGATAATCTGGGAGAGAAAAATCCTAAGGAAAATATACGGTCCGAAGAAAATAAATGACTGGTGGCGAATACGGAAAAATTAGCTATATGAGCTGTTTAAAAGCCTGGCGTAAGCTTGTTTCTGACGCCCAGGTCCACTAAGGACTGCACAGCAAATTAATAATAATAATAATAATACCTTAGGTTGCTCTGTTTTAAAGAAAAGTGGAGCATTAAATATATTTGGAGGAAGAAAGCTAGCGTCATCGACGTTGGGGGAGGGAGGATGGGTACTCCATGTTGTTAACTTTTAAATCGAATCTTTGGACAAATAAATTTAATTACGATAGGAAAGTCCACACCGGCTCAGAAAGGACAAACGCTATGAAATTAAATAAACGTCAACTACACTCCTCTGCCGTTAATGTTACCGAGAGTCAGGAACCCCAGATCATGATTTGGGCAATGACACGAAAAACATGCTCCTTATAATATACCGGCACAACAATAAAATATAAAAATAAAAAGGCTTAGCGAACCCGAAGATTCGATGCCGATACCACCAATCGCTTATTGCACACCTCCCTCCATCGTTCGCCGTCCAAACCCAGTCCCTTCAGATCGGCTTTAATGCAATCTTCCCACCTTCGCTTCGGTCTACCCCTCGGACGCTTACCATTCGGCACAGTAAATATTAATCTTTTAGGAATTCTCTCATTACTAAGCCCAACAACTTTACAAGCCCATTTGATCCGCCGCGATGAAATTATCTCAATTATATTACTCGGATACAGTTCACGCAATTCGGCGTTGTGTAACCGTCTGAACTCTCCGGTTAACTCATCCTTCTTCGGTCCGAATATTCTACGCAATACTTTATTTTCAAAAACCTTAAGACGCTGCTCATCCCTTAATGTAAGCGGCCAAGTTTCGCATCCATAAAGAACTGTAGGCAAGATAATTGTTTTATAGATTCTAATTTTTAAGTTCCGGGACAAGAGCCGCGAACTAAGTAGTTTTGTCACAGAAAAATAACAAGCATTCCCCGCCTTCAGTCTAACCTTAATCTCTTCTTCAATTTCGTTTTTTCTAGTTATCGTAGAACCTAGATACCTAAACTTATCTACCTGTTCAAATATATTACCATCTATATCGATATCACCAGTAGTATTGCCATTTTTGCAGCTAACCATATATTTTGTTTTATCCACGTTTATTTCGAGTCCTAGTTCTTTACCGGCTTTCATTAACGTTGTCGTATTTAGTTTTATAGTTTCAAGGTCTTCGCTTAATAGTACCAGATCATCCGCATAGCCCAGCACGGATGTTGTCCCGCCCAGATCCAACCCTTTCTCGGTTCGCATTACCTCCCTAATGGCATGTTCTAATGCCAAATTGAACAGGACAGGCGAAAGGGAATCCCCCTGTTTTAAACCCGACCGAACCTCAAATTTTTCTGACAGATTATTACCGATTCTAACTTTATTGATTGTTGGCACAACAATATAAATCATAAAATCTTAAGATTTGTAGTTACATATAATTATCTTTGAATGTAAACGAAATTTCAAAACAAGTTTTTAGGTTAGCCATCATTCCTCTTTTCTTAACTTATTTTAATTTAAATAGAGAGTGGGGTAGTTCAGTGGTAGGGTTCTGAGCTTCCAATGCTGAAGGTCTCAGGTTCGAATCCCTGCTCATGGCAGAACAATTATTTATTCTATTTCATTGGTCGTGGTTTGGGAGACCCTTCTGGGGCACAGCTAGCCTCGATAAAAGTGGGTACCCTTAAGTAAATAATTTAAATAAATAATAAAAACTGGCGGTTGAGCTTGATCTCGGTCAAATCATCTCCTTGCACAACCGTTGACCAAGGAACATTGCTTTCCCTAAATAGTACTGAACCCAAGATCCATCATGGGTTGTAGTCGAACAGATTTTTACTTTCATACCTATACTAGATAAGGAAAGTATTGCAATCGGGTCAAATTTCCGATATGCGGTTTTCGACGGATCTATACGAAAAACACATTTTTAGGCATTGGTCTGTCTGTCTGTGCCAAGGTTTTCTCGGGAACTACTGAACCGATTTTGTAGCTTTTTTTTTTAATTTTTAGGGTTTTGACTACTGATGCCTGTGACAGAAATTCGGTGCTCCATACGCAATAGCTTGCTCGCAATAAATAAAAAACATGTTTTTCTATAGACTGCTGCACGAAAACGGCTATAACGATTTTGATGAAACTTTTTTATATTGTTCTAATAATTGTCCTTTCAATTTTCGTACATAGACTAAATTCCCGAGAAAATTCAGGAAAAAACGTTATAAAGAAAATAAAAATGTTATGGTACCTAACTCTCTAAGTATATATTACAGGGTAAAATTTATAATAAAACATTGAAAGGTAATGGAATTCCCTACAAAACTATATAAAAATCGTTCATTATGGACAACTATTAACGAAGTTACAGCTATTCGATTTCCAATGTAAGATTACGGATTCATATTCTGGTGTCAGAAAAGGGTGAATGAGAGAAAAAAAATAAGTGAAAGTAAGAAAATCTTTTGCCCGCATCACACAAACTTCACTATTTCCTCTACTTTTAACAGAAATTATTGTTTGACAATACTAAGCTATGGTTTTTTGATCAGTAATATTAGAGAGTATTGAAATTTTTACACTGATCTACCTTAAACTGGTTTACATTGCTTTAGTTTATCAAATAAATCGTACTCAAATCTTATGTTTGTTCAATTTTCAGGAAAATAAATCTAGTTAAATTTTTTTTTGTTTCTACATGAACATATGTAAAGATATTAAAACTTTTCTGAAATAGGTAGGAAAGTCGTGTGAGTGGACACACCAGATTTTTTTTTTTTACATATTTTATTCATTCATGTAGATTAATTGTTAATATTTTTTTAGTTATTTGAAATTTACGGGGAGAGGGGATGAGGAAAAACGATATTCTCATCCCTCTCTATTTTTGTGGGGGGAGAACGATTTTTCCCTTCGCCCTCTTCCTCCCCCTGAAGTCTGCGACATTGGATACATCTATTATTTTGAGATAAATTATTATTTTTTATTATGTTTATTACTTTCATTTTTCAATCTATAAAATGGTCATTTTATTTCGAAATGATTTATTTCTGTTCCTTTTAGGACCGACTACTCGAACTACAGGTACGATATAGACTTCCACGTGGAAGGGAAACTCCGGATCTCAGGAGACTACGTGTCAAAGGGGAAGGTTCTCCTGATCCCTATACGAGGAGAAGGCAAGAGTAATATGACATTTGGTAAGTCTTGAGACCGTAACTGTTTACTAATTTATTCCATAATGTTGAGCCAAGCAGAGCTGTAATAAGTAGAACTGAAAAACAAAAAAATATCACACATCTAATAACAGTAACACATAGCCCAGTCAACGAATGCTCGAAAAGGAGGTGTAGAAGGAAACGGCGGGGCAAAATTTAATTAGTAAGGAGGTAAACATACCAAAAGTCCCCACTCCTAGGTGGTGAGCCAGATGTGGGGAGGGAGAGAGGGGGGCTAGAAGAACACTTTTTCTCGAGTTTTCGCTTGTATTTAGTCTTTCGTTGGGTTTTTATTACTTTTATTTACCCATATACGAAATATATAGTAAGAGGCAGTATTGCGATCGTGAGAATTTTCAACTTAGAGTTTTCAACGAAAATACATAAATGTTTTGAGGTCTCCTGAGTCCAAATAACCAATTCCCGCAAAATGGTGTGTGTGTGTGTGTGTGTGTGTGTGTGTGTGTGTGTGTGTGTGTGTGTGTGTGTGTGAGTGTGTGTCGGTGATTATGTATGTGAAAGATTTAGCTCAAAATCGGAAAGTTGTATGAAAGTGATTGTATACTTAAGGTTTGTATATACCTGAGATGTTACAGCAACTTTTTCGTCAAAATCGGCTAACCGCAAGAGGCACTTTATATCATCCATTAAACACATTTTTATCATTTTCTAGAAAACGGTTAGAGCCGTTTTCTAGAAAATAGTATTTGATTAAAAAAATAGATTTTGATTAAATTCATTATATCAGTGTAAAATTAAGCATTTCTTAATATAATGTAGATGTTTATTCTCATTGATGTTCTTTAACTGAAGTTAAATGGCTAATTTTCAATATAAATTTCATCTAAAATACCTATATATTTTTTAATTTGAAACAATTAACCATTTCGCATTGTTCTCTAATATGAAAAAATAGTTAAATAAACAATATGAAAGAATGTGAAAGTGTACAACGTTAGGATATCACAAAGAGAAAATTCATCAATTTATTTACTAATTTAATTTTCTTAAAGTTCACATGATGATTTTTTGGAATATACGGACGATAGATACCTAATTATTTAAATATAATATCAGATCTAGAAATTTTTTAAATCTGAACAGTGATAAGTATTCTTTGGCAACCATCTTTGCATTTGAATAATTTAACTAATTTTGATTAGTTTGACACTGCTTAACAGAATTTTCGTTGTACCAATGTTGATTAGGTATTGAATTATCATAACTCGCTAATCTAACGTTAGATCTTGATCAAATCTTTAACCGATGTTAAAGTTAATCTTACATACGATTGCTTCTATCAAGGAACAAATATTTGCATTTTATGAGAATACTAGTGTACTGTTTTAGTCTTTTACGTTTTTCAAGACGACTACAAATATGATTTCATCTGAAGAACAATCCTCTGAAGATAGTTTATCATCAGATGAAGACTTATTAAATCTTATCAATCTGTTTTTCACTTTCAGAAAAATTGCTCCCTCTTTCCCTTCTTTCCATTGTCTTTACAATAATTAACAAGCGATAATCAATCAAATAACCTAAAATCTCGTTAATTATAAATATCAAAGTTTACAAGCAAGTGAATAAAAGATTTCATGATGTAATCCAAGTTTCTTCTCAATCATCGGTTCTTGTTATACGTCATAAATAAGATGGATTCAAACGTTAGCATCTTGTTGACTAACCCGGCTTAAAAATTATTTGGAGCAACTGGACCCAAATTTTAACATTGGTTAAGTTTTAACTCTATTTAGTTAACAGAGAATGTTAACTTTTATCACGTATGTTAGTGTAACCGGCCATAAGAGACTTTCGGCAAGAATTACGATTTATCTTGAAATCGGTAGAATTGATGGGGGTTGTGCCAAATAGGGGTTTTTGTTTGAATGCCCCGCTTTACGGCGAGTGGTGGGGGCAGATCTAACAGATATAGATAACATTTAAGCCCTGAGAGGAACTGGTTGTATCCCCTCCATTCCAAAAGCAGCCACCACTGGGCAAACACCATCTCCAGTACAAGAAACCATGTACGGAGAGCTCTCTAGGTAAAAAAGATGTGGGCTGGCATATAGACGGTAAGCTGTTTTTTTTTTTTTTGCACAATCATTAACCTACCAATCCCTTGAGATACAATCCATTGCTTAAAAATTAGAATGTTACCTTAAAAATTTGGAATGTTAACTTATTGAAATTCATGCGAGTTATTTTGCCATAATCAGAAAGTTGCCTAAATAGATTGCTTTCAAATGGTCCGGTATAGTTTTAAAATAACTATTGTCATATCTTTAAAACACAATTTATTTTATCGCATTTCGATCAGACGACGTTTGAAGCCATCTGTTATAGGATCGAATTGGGTTTCGTCATTTCTCTATAAAATTCTCTTCGATACATTATTTATCAAAATTCTGCGCTCACTGAGAATCTTTAAAGGGATTTATATTATAGGTATTACGTATGTTTGTTATATAGCATGGAGATTCTGATTAAGAAAAACAAGAAAAAGATAAAAAATATGTTAAAACATCCATGATTTAGTATTAAATTAATTTAACCAATTTTGTTATAGATAACTTCTCAGGAAAGATCACCATGAAAGGCCGGGAAGTGGCAAGCGACGGCGAGAAATATATTCAGATTTACAAGACAGACATAGTTATCGACACGACGAGGCTCTTCCTCAGCTTCAAGAGACCCCACCAGGAGGCGCTAAGTGAGTATTGAGTAAAATAATTGATAATTGTAAGTAAAAATACATTGTGAGACCATAATACATCTAGAGTTATCAACTCTAGATGTATTATGTACTATTCGACAACAGTAGTTAAAATAGCAATCGAAATTTTGAGTTTTATTTTTGGAAGTTCTTCGAAAACAATAAACAACGCTTGGCCGTGGCAGCACTATCGACTGAAGTTTGGTTTAACTCTGAAAAGATTAAGGCTGCCATCAGATCGATTTTGGGCCCTGGCTCCAGGACTAAAATGTATCGCATCGTCTAATGGACGTGGCCGCTTGTTACACATTCTTTGGATGTTTTATTCGTTCTTTATGATAATATGATTCTTATAAAACTGTTGATTATATGCCACACAAAGTTTCGAAGGTCTAATGACGATGGTTCTTTGCTTCATCTTAGCGGTATATGATTCACACAATTTAGTGGGAAGAAGTAGTAGAAATATAGTATACCATGGGATATATTTTTTTTAATATACAGACTTTGTGTATCTTTAGCCGCCTATACCTGCACTCTCTCCATCTTTTTTTTTTGGTTATTATTTTACAGTTTTCTGAGTGTAGTTTCGCAGCACCTTTGTTGATTCGATCTGTCCATACGGTTATTGGCCCACGTGATCTTTTGCCAAGTACTGAGGCATTCATTATTGTGCATAGATTTCCTGACAGATTTCTCCTAGCTACAAGTCCAACCATCTTGATCCCCTTGCCTTCCTATTATGAGATACTGATTGATCAGTTTCTTTAAAAAGTTCTTTAACGATCCTTCTTCTCTATGCGTTAGTTATCCCATATCGATCCGGTATTCGTACGAAGGAGTTTCCTCACGAGTCTTTCAATAACTGTTTCATGTTGCTCATTATTGTCAATGCATCGTAGCCATATATAAGAACTTGCTTTATCAAAGCATTGTAAATCTTAATCTAATAAATTTGAGGAAAAATCTTAGCAGAGTCTTTCAATGTCCTATTCAGGGGTGCCCATCTCCCCTCCCCCAAGTTCGATGGTGCATGAATTTTCCTCCACTCCTCCTAAGATATTTGGGGTTGATTGATTGATCTCCACTTCTTAAAAACAGTGCAAACAAAAGTATAATTTAAAAATTCGTAGATTATATACAATTACACATTCTACTGTCTTTTCTATGCATCCATTTTTCTTTTGTTTTGAAACTTTTCAATTCGAAAATTCATAACCCGGTCGAAATGTGCCCCCCTCAAAAATTCAAAACGCCGTCAAAATGTGCCCCGCTTCAAAAATTTTGATGGCGCAACTTGCGCCATGAAACCCCCTTCTGGGCTGTATGCACCCCTGATCCTCTTGATTTTTTTAATGGATATCTACACCATTTTCTTATTCAAAAGTTTTATAATTCATTCCGATATGCATGCCTCCATTTTAAGTGATGTTTTTTTCAAGAATCCAGTGAGGAGGTAAAAGAAAGTTGTGTGATACACTAGATTTTTTTATTTAGTAATTGGTTAATTAGTTGTCAACTTACATTTCGGGTGTTCAATAGTTGATTAAATGTGGTTGGTCATGGATTCAACATGTGTATCTGTTATAATATTTATTCAGTAAAGTTTAAAATATACTTCATTAATACTTATTAATATTTCCCTAATTATCTTTTTATAAAAAAATAACAACTTTTTATAAATAATGATTTGTTTAGTACGTACCTGACACAGACCAACGTTATTAAAATATGATATCACTTTTTCAGGTAAGATCTTGAATAGGTTCATGAACGACAATTGGAAACAGATCCTGAACGACATGAAGCCAGCCATATCTCAAAGCTTCGGTGCGAACATCCAAGAAGTTGCTAACAAAGTCTTCAGCAAGATCCCTATAAGTCTTATCGCGCCGCCTTGAATTAGTTCCTCAAGTTCCTCGACTTACGGCTAATATCTCATTTTTCAAAGCCAAAAAAAAAAGAATATGATTTTTCTATTTATTTCTTTAAAAAATATTCGGAAGAAAGGTCAGCCATGTTGTGGCGAACGTCAGTCTTAGTTGTAAGGTTAAAAATGAAAGCTTTAAAACTATTGTTAGTTTAAGATACCAATGATACAAAAACCTATTTATTTATTTCTGTATCATTAAGAACTATAAATAAAATGTATGTCGTTGATATGGTTTAAAATGTCTATCTGATGTTATTTATGATGTTTGTTAAGATGAAAATGAAAATTGTTAAATGAGAAAATAAAAAATATTTTTCAATGACATAATTAAATATAACTGTGTCCCAAATAATGCGTTTTTCTTTTGTGCACCTGCCTCCAAAGACGCCTACTACTAATAGTCCAGTAAAATTAAGGATTGAACCCAAGCATTCAAAAAGTAAAGCTGAAACTTATCATAAATTGTTTATTACTCTCCCTATAATAACTGGTAAAAATTACCAAAGAATCCCGCGTCGGGTTTTGATAGGAGGAGGGGAAGAAGAACGGAAAAATGATTTTTTTTTATGAATATCTCTAAAACTATTAGCTTTTTTGTACAGATTCTTCAGTATAATATTAATGTACTTTAAAATTTCTATAAAAATGATCATTTATATTTTTTTGATAATATTAATGGTTACGGAGATATTTATGAAATTACATTTATTGTATTTCCACTTTAAGCTAAAATTGCTTCAATCCACAAATTTGATTTTTTTTTTTTTCAAGTTTAGATTGACATTAGGCTTTTGATGGAATCTGGCACCCGGGACTACTTTAAAAACTCCGTGAATACTTCGAAGGAAATCACAATAATGCTTATTCATCCCTCTTTTTCCAGTCCACTGGTGTTCCTCAAGGAAGTATCCTATTGTCCTATCTTATACACAGTTTATACAACTGACATCCCAACCCATCCTAACACTGTCATACAATGTCTATGATACATTTATCCTATCCCTTAATAATGACCCAACCATTTAATCCCAAACTCTTCAATCAATTACACACAAATCTTGAAGAATGGTGTCAAAATGGGAGGATTAAAATAAATTCCAATAAATCCCATCAAATCACCTTTACCCTTCGCCGTAAACCTCCTGTCCTACAGTATCCTTTAATAATACTCCACTTACCCCTGTTCAACAAATACGATACCTTGGACTCCACTGGGACAAACGTCTATCTTGGAATCCTCATACCAAACTGAAAAGACAAGAAATCGACATTTCCGACTACTTCAGCACGTACTAGACAAACGTTCTAAGCTCCCGGGTAATTACAAATGATTCATATACATGACTACAATAAGATCTATTTGGACTTACGGAGTTGAGCTTTGGGGCTCCACTAAGCCATCGAAGTCCTCTCGTATCCCATCCTTCGTAAAATCCTCAATGCTCCTTACTTTGTCACTAATAAAATCATAAAAGACGACCTTAATGTTCCTTATGTTTCTGAACTGGCCCAATCCAGATAGATATCCTTCCATAATAAACTTCAGAACCATCCAAACACTCTCGTTTCTAATCTTGCTTCCTCCTCGATCCCTGATAACCCTCCGAGACGTCTGGAAAGAAGATGGCCTCGAGATGTTGTAAATACATTTTTAGAGTGGTACCAGTGAGTATTTTCTCAACAAGTGGTTTCTTGTTATTTCATATTCTTGTGTTCACATTTACTGAATGTATTTTTATTTCGAATACAGCTGTAAATATCATAAATAGTAAATAAAAAAAAAGATTGACATTAATTTCATATAATTGATAATATATGATAGAATACATTAAAGAGAGAGAGAGAGAGAAACACTTTATTTTCATAAAATATAAAGGATTGCTGCCCAATTATATTGGGTTGCTATATACACAGCATACTTTTCTATCCTTAAGACAATATATGAACTAATATATAAATATACAGAAGTATTAGTTAATATTAGTAAAATAGAAATATATATATACATTTTTATTATTTTTTTTTTTTCCTTTTTCCTTCTTCTCATTGTTCATGCTTTTTTTTTTTTTTTAATTAACATTAAGTTTCCCTTTCTCTCACTTCTCTCTCTTCATCTCTATTGTTTTCAATTATTCACTAAATAAATAAATAAACAAATACATAAATTAAAACTCTCGGGCTAGCCATGCACGTGGTGGTGAAAAAAAAAAGTGGTCTTCAAAAATATTGAGCCGTTTAGAGTGACCTACACCCCCAAATTTTCAAAATAACGATAATATAGGACCAACGGCCCAATATTTTTATAGTCCACCTTTTTTGACGATTTTGTGATCAAATTATGTTACGATCCAAGTAGAAAGGAAATGAGTATTTACGAGGTTTTATTACCTAATTAAATAAACAAATTTTGCCTCCAAAATTCACCATAAACCATGGTCTGGTTAAGTACAAAGAACAAGAAAACTTTTGATAAAATTTCCTAATTCTTAAGCCAACTACGTTTTAAGTTGAATAAAAAGTAATAAATAAAAAAATGTTTAATTTAGATGTGAAACTGCACAAGATATGTAAAACTGCATAAATATTGACGAAAAAAGGCCGATATATCGGCCATATCAGGTTTTGTAATATCAGTATCGGCCAAAATTTCCATATCGCTCGATCCCTATCAATAATTTAAAACGAACCATATTAAGGTACTTTAGAGGAAGACGCATTGAACATTGGGAATTTAAGCCCTGTAAAGTGTCATCAACGAAGATAAGATCTTAATAATATTAAAGACCACTTAATTATGCAATGATAAACCAAAATTTAATCAAAATCGTTTGAGCCGTTTTTGAGAAAATCGTAAAATTGTGTTTCAGCGTTGATATAAAGTAGCACTTCCGGTAAGCCGATTTTAAGTAAAATGTTGCTGTGACATCTAAGGCATATATATATCGTAAATACGCAATATCAGTTTTATACGACTTTTTGTTTTTTAGCTAGACTGTTCACAGACACACAGACCATTTTTCGGGACTTGGTTATTTGGACTCAGGGTACCTCACAACGTGCATTTCCGATTAAAACTCAGATTAGAAAATTTTCACGATTGCAATCCATTCCCTTACTATATATTACATATAAGTACATGTAAGTGAAAGTAAAAAGTGACCACACAAAATTGTTCTTACTATTTTCCGTTCGGAATTAGCCCATGTATCAAATAAACATTTTTGTTGGAAATTTTTTCTAAAATTGCCTCCAAGATTTTGACCATTAAGAACTAAGGTCCCCTGTATATTATATAAACATAAGTATATATATATATATATATATATATATATATATATATATATATATATATATATATATATATATATATATATATATATATATATATATATTACAAAAAAAACAAACAATATTATTGATCATCGTGAAAATTTTGGAGTTTTCAAAGAAAATGCACGTTTTGAGAGCGTATCATCAAGAGTATCGCCATTATGAACTGAATATTCTCCCTGCGACACTTAAGGAGACAGCCCTGATGAAGGCCTGAACTTCAGGTCGAAACATCGGCATATGTAAAAAATAAATATTATCATTTATTTTCGCCTTCCTTTTTGACTGACAACTATTCTTCTCTTCATTATCCACGACAGTCAACCAATTACCTATTATGAATTTTAAATATTAGGATAAGATTCCAACTATTAGAAATATGAAGCCACTCAGTACTAACTTATAAAATATGATTACACAGGTTAATTTATAAAAAAAACATCTCAAAAATCCAAGTATATTGGAATAATCTTCTGGAATGAATATCAAAGTATGAAAACATTGCAAATTTTTATTGGGCCTGAATGATGACATTTAAATGCTTTGCGAAAATAGAAAAAAAAATTTCTATGTTACTTGTTTATTGTTTTTTAAATACCATGTATTTAAATGTTTAAGATTTTGACGCTCTGTGGCAAATGAATGGAAAAAATGGTGTTTGAAAATTTGTAAATATATCCAAATTAATATATTTATAGGGGATTTCGGTCGTTTAAACAAACTTTAAGAATATGGTAATATAACAAACAGGTGTACGAAATTAACACATGTATATTGTTGTACAAAAAAAATCTAGTACAAATTACATATGATTTATAACATATGTCAGCCTATCATGATTAAAAAGCACTGAACATCGATCCCATTAACAAGCAGCAATTTCTACTGAGGATATTTGTAGAACTATTATATTTAGTATATTTAATGTTCATGAATCAGTTGAAAACATTTCTGGTCGTTTCAATGTGATAAAAAATTAATTAAAGAAAATACAGTGCCATTGGCTAAAAACTAAATATAATTTAACATCGACTAGACAGCAGCCCAAAATGTATATCGATCAGAGTGGTAGCTTCTATCTTCTGTATTCAATAAAATAGTCCGTGGTACAGACCCCTTTTTATCGAATTATTAACATCCGCCTGAAACTTCGTAAGGAGTTTCATCTCATCGTAACCTACAACTATTTTATTTACGATAACTCTTAAAATTGGGGTGTTTTCAATTTAGATGGGGACAAACTTTGTCTCATTAATTAGGTACTTAAAACTCGTAAATACCCGTTTGCTTTCTACTTGGATCGTAAGATAATTTGATCACAAAATCGATATAAAAAGTGGTCTCTCGTTTCTAATGTTGCTTCCTCCTCGATCCCTCATAACCCTCCGAGACGTCTGGAAAGAAGATGGCCTCGAGAAGTTGTAAATACATTTTTAGAGTGGTACCAGTGAGTATTTTCTCAACAAGTGGTTTCTTGTTATTTCATATTCTTGTGTTCACATTTACTGAATGTATTTTTATTTCGAATACAGCTGTAAATATCATAAATAGTAAATAAAAAAAAAGATTGACATTAATTTCATATAATTGATAATATATGATAGAATACATTAAAGAGAGAGAGAGAGAGAAACACTTTATTTTCATAAAATATAAAGGATTGCTGCCCAATTATATTGGGTTGCTATATACACAGCATACTCTTCTATCCTTAAGATAATATATGAACTTATATATAAATATACAGAAGTATTAGTTAATATTAGTAAAATAGAAATATATATATATATATATATATACATTTTTATTATTTTTATAATTTTTTTTTTTTTTTTCCTTTTTCCTTCTTCTCATTGTTCATGCTTTTTTTAATTTTTTTATTTAACATTAAGTTTCCCTTTCTCTCACTTCTCTCTCTTTATCTCTATTGTTTTCAATTATTCACTAAATAAATAAATAAACAAATAGATAAATTAAAACTCTCGGGCTAGCCATGCACGTGGTGGTGAAAAAAAAAAAGTG